AATTAAAACGAACAAGTTATCTGTCATAAGTTTTTTTTTCAGTCCATCTAATAACATATCTGTAAACATAATAATAATAATAATATTTATTGCTTCTAAACTTGAGTTACAGCAATGAGTACAGATATAAAAAAATTAGATAATAAAACATAAAAACAACATTATTCTTCCAGTACAAAAGAGCGCAATTTTAATATATTCCAAATATATTCAGCAATTTTCCTAGCTTCAAAAATTGTTATATTTTGTAAAGTATGCAGCAATGAGTTTACATTTTCAAGGCAAGCGATATTTTGCTTCATTGTTGAGTAAATAGGGCAATCAAAAAGTATGTGAAAAATTGTTTCTTTTTCATGTGTATTACACACAGTACAATCTAGTTCGGGGTCAATAACATAACTAATACCATTTAATGTAAATTTAATCCTAAAATGGTTGGACATACGCAATTGAGCAAGAGTACGGGTAACATGGATTGGTAATTTAAAGAGTAAGTATCTACTTGGTTCACAAGATGTAGGAACATAATTATATAAATACATAAAAGGATAGCGAGACGCTATACTAACATCTGAATCATGTAAATGTGTAAAATACTTGGAAAACAATTCTTTTCTATATGAACTAAAAGAAGGATGGTTTAAATTGTTCCATTTATGAACACAATCAATATCAACAAAGAACTTTTTCAACTGTACTATCCAGTTATACTTTATATCTGTAGAGTTGATCAAACGCAATTGTTGTTTAAAACAAAGCTTTGGATATCGATGATTATCCATTGTCATTATTTTTTGTATCCAATTAAGGGACATTTTAAAAATATTAAATGCAAACTTTACTCTTCCAGTCTCTAAACGGATTATAGCATCAGGAGTAGTGATGGGAACTAAAAGAACTCTTTTAAGGAAATATAACTGGACTCTTTCCAATACATCTAAGTATCTTAGGCCCCAAACAGAAATACAATTAAACATAACACTAAGGGCAAGTGACTCAAATAATTTGATTCTAGGATGCCAAGTATTAATTTTAGCTTTCGACATTATCGGAAGGAGAGAACCTATAGCCTGTTTACCTTTGTTGGCAGTAAAATGAGCCATTTCATTAAAAAGACCTGATGAAGTAAATACTACTCCTAGATATGTATATTTATTAATTATAGAAATAAGTTGGTTGTTAAAGTAAAAATTAAAGTTAGGCGTCCTAAAACCTCCCTTAGAAAATTGCATTATTTTTGTTTTCTGTAAATTAACATTTAATTTATTAGCAACAGTATATTTTTCTAAAATTTTTAACTTTTTAACAACATCAATCTCAGAGTGTGCTAAAATGACAAGGTCGTCAGCATATATTAGCGACAAAACATCATTTTTGTCATCAATATTTATACCTTGAGCACCGTTCTCATAAAAAAAGGTATCCAAAGTCAGCTATAAACAGTGCAAATAATAAGGGAATTAGAGGTTCTCCCTGTAGGACGCCCGTTGTCACTTCAAACGATTTGGATAGCCCATCAGATCCCTTTATTTGTACCGTAGCGTGCGAATAAAGCATTTTTATTACACGGAGAATTTTTGATGACACTCCTACATGAAATAATTTGTTCCACAAATCCACATGATCAACTGAGTCGAAAGCTCTTTTAAAATCAACAAAAATTGCAAACAATTTTCTCTTTTTATGCCTTATATGTAAATTAATAACACTGCTTAAGGTGAAGACATTATCTTGACAACCTCGCCCTAAACGAAAGCCAGCTTAACATTCTGGAAGGATATTACATTCATCGGTCCACTGTGACAGTCTGTTGAGAATAATGAAAGTGAATATTTTAGCACAACAGTTGACCAGAGCTAATCCTCTATAGTTTTTAGGATTATCTGTCGCTCCCCCCTTATGTAGCATAGCTAATAAAATGTTAGACCAAGATTTCGGAATAACTGCAGTTTCAAATATTGAATTAAATAACGATATTAAATAAATAATCCAATTATTTGGAAGATTTTTAAAAAACTCATAAGTTATTCCATCACATCCAGGTGACTTATTAATTTTACAATTATTAATGACTTTATAAATTTCATTTGTACAGAAAGGAGCATACAGAAAGGGGTGGGTGACATCTTGAAAGGTAAGAGTCAACGTTGTTCTAGGAGGATATATGTTTTGGTAAAAATTTTCCCAAATACATATTGGTAGAACTTTGCGATTTAATGTGCTACGGAACTGTTTAATTGTCTGCCAGAATTCTTTGGGATCATTCAAATTGGATAATTTAATAATAATTTCAGCTTCGTATTCTTTTTTCCTTAATTTAATGGTTTTTTTGTAATCTGCTTTTAAGTTTAGGTAAGTTTGTTTTGAATTTTCAAAAAAATTATTGCTTCTACAAATTTTTAAAGATTCTTTCATGTTCTTTTTGGCATTAATACATAAAAAGTCAAACCATGGTAAATAAACATAAACATAAATAACGTATCTTTACCCATAACAGAAAAAGCAAGAAATCTTGGCATAATATTTGATAATAAACTAAAGTTCTCTGATCATACTTCATATATTTTACAAAAATCTTATTATAAGCTAAAAATACTGTATCAAAGTAGAGATTTGTTTAACAAAGAATTAAAAATTCAACTATGTGATTCTCTTGGTCTGAGTAATGCTAATTACTGCGATTACTTGTCGGGCCCTGTCTATCTGTAAATGATTCCAATAGAATACAAAAACATCAAAATTCTTGCCTAAGGCTTATTTATGGAATAAAGAAATTTAAAAGGATTTCTCATACTCTGAAATTAGCTAAGTGGTTAAATATGCGAAATCGCAGAAAAATTCATGCAATAACTTTGTTTCACAAAACAATAATGAAAAAATGTCCACCATACCTTGATAACAAAATTATTTTCGCACAGATATTCATAACAAGCATACTCAAAAGAAAAATGAAATTGATGTACCAAAATACAATACACCTCAGTTTAAGAACAGTTACTCATATCAGATATCGAAAGAATATAACAATGTTACAGATTCCCTAAAAAACCTTTCTCCTCTTTCAAGAGGCGTCTATTTGTGAATATTTTCAATGACCAATGCAGGAATTTTGGAATTCAGTAATTTAATTTAGTAACTTAGGAATTTTGAAATTCAGGAATTTAGGAATTTAAGAATTTAAAATTATAATAATTTAAAAACATTTAAAATTTAAGAATGTAGAAATTATTATTATTATTATTACTAACCATCAAATGATATTTCACGTGATTTGTGTGCTGTTTCGGAAAATTAGAGATTAATATTTTAAACAGTCTAGTTTTAGTTTTATATGCATAATTATACTACTCGTATATTTATACTCCTTAAGTTTTTTTTTTCGACAATTGTATTTTCACTAAATAAAATTGTAAAAAGACCTAACTAAATATTTATTTTTATAGGCGATTTACTATACTTTACTTTATTATATTAAAAACATTAAAAACATAGTATCTAGTAACTTACATAGCTAGTTTCTACATAATTATTTATATTAGTAAATTAAATAATTTATCTCGAACAAAATATAGTAACTCATTAATAGTCAAATTACTTATTTTTTTAATTTTTTCTTTATTTATTTAAATTCTTTGTTAAAAATTATCTAGAAATGACTTCATACTTTATCTAAATATCTTCTTGAAAAAAAAAAGGCTACGCAATTTTAGAAAACGCGCTTTACTGAAAAGTTAATAAATCATAGTTACTAGGTTTTGTCAAAGTACGGCAGAATAGTAACCTCTATTTTCAAAATTACTCCATTCCCACAAGCATCTGTGAATAGTTGTCAACGTAGTATGATGGAGTAATCTTCGCTGTGGGTACTGTTCAGCATAAAGTCCTTGTGCTTCCAATGCATTACCGTTATCACGACCGTATGTAATATGCATATCTGCCATTTTTAAATTCGAATATGCATTCATATTTTCAATCAAATAATATTTTGTACAAAACACAATCATAAAACTTGTGAAACAATAAGAAAGACAAGAGAAAATGACAGTGCACGATCCTGGGGGTCAATTCTCGACTTTTATTCCCATTCAGTTTTCGTATTCTCGACATAAGCGGTGGAATATTTTCCAATGAGAAGTATGGGAAAATATTCCCCTGCTTACGAGCATTGGAAATTGTGTTTTCCAATGGGAATTGTACTAGAGTTTGCGCATTAAAGTCGAAAATTTGACGAAAGACCACGCGAACGACATAACCAAAGATTATTGGATATCTTGGATTTGTGAAATTGTAGTTAAAACATTTTTTTGGCGTATTTATAGATTGATATTATTTTATTTATGTAGGTATATTATTTTTAATTCTGTATATACTGATTTTCCTAAATAATTTAGAACTTTTGGGAGCTGCTATAAGGGACTGGCAAATAACACAAATTGAGTGTAGTAAATTTAATAAGACCTTTTCGAAAATTTTATTATTTTCGTTAATGAAAGAATTTCTTAGTTTCTCAAAACTTTCGTTGCTCTTCCATACAAAAGCTACCTTTTCTTTTTTCAACATGAGAAAACAAAAACTAAGAATAACTTGACAAGTTTTAATTATTATACGTAATCGAATATGTTCACTTGTTTCTCGATCATGATAGCGATTGCTCGGCACGGCACCTGCTCCAGCGCGGAGGCTCGGCAGGTAATCGGATACCCAAAAACCACAACAAATACAAATATTGCCAACAGTAAATTTTAAAATATCTTTAATGTTATTGGTTGTTTCGAAATATTCGTGGACTTAATATCAGACATACGTGAAACTACTATTTCCATGGGAATGTCTATTCTGACACGTTCGAGAATTGCATAACCTATTACTATGGGAATATAAGTAGTGGAATATTTTCCCATGGGAAAATTTTCCAATGATCTCGAGAATCGAGCCCCTGGTCTCAATATTATTGTTTTTTTGGATGGATGAAATAAATAACAATATCAACTAGACTAAACCTATAGGATATACTTACTTGGATCGTCAGCCAGTCTAATTGAATAAGAATCTCCGACTTTTTCAACGATATACTTCGAAAATGGTTCTATTATATTATTATGATCCTCCAGTGTTTTCTCACTATTTGTGAAACTAGAATTATTCGTCGAATTTTCAAAAGAAGTTTCTTTTGATAGCAGCTTTTCTTGAGATGGATGAGAACATTTTCGCTTCGCCGGTGGGAGTCCCATATTATTATTTATAGTAATATTCTGTTGCAATGCGTGATTTTCTATTGGGTTCACCAATCCTGGTTGGGGTATTTCAGACTTATTATTAAATTGGGAAGAAAATGTTCTATTATTTAACGGATCGTGGGAAAGTGGTGGACGGAGAAATGGAAAATTGTTGGGGAGAGCAATATTCGTCCAAGGATCATATGCAACCAATTTTTCTTCAAATATTTCAGGATTTTTTAGATGACCAGACTTTAGTAGCATTTCTCGATTACATGGATAATGCCCATGACGTATGGGTTTGTGTTTACGAGGTTCGCTATTTTCATCCGGCGAGTGCGGTCTTTTTTTCTCTTTCTCATTATTTTGTGATTTTTTATGTTTTTTATTTTTTTTATGTTTCTTATACACTTTTATAGGCTGAGGCATCGGATGTGATGAGGTAGATGGAACTAAGTGGTCTACAGTTAGATCTATCATCTTACAGTTATTCTGTAAATTATCTTTTATTTCCAAATTGTCTATGTTTGATTGATTTGAATTTGAATCATTCTGTTGAACTGGATCATCTAACAAACTTGGCATAGACAATGCTTTAGTGGCTGTAGCGTTCTTTGGATCCAATGAAGATTTTTTGTTAATATCCTTAGATGTGTCAGGTAATTTCTGAATTTTGCCTGTATTGATATCTGCTTCCTTTTTCCTTTCCTTTTTTTTACATCTTTTACATTTTTTTTTCACTTTTGGACTTCCATCTGTATTTATTTCTTCTGACTTTCTATATTTTATACAGCTACATCTTTTTTTTGCTTTTGAATTTGGATTAAGCTTCTTTGGTATTTTTTTAATATTATCGATATTTTTATTAAATGTTTCAGGTTCTGTTGAAAGTGTATTTGTTTTTATTAAATTGCTAGTTGTAGCCATATTTTTAGTATCTAATGTAGTTTTCCCTGATTGAGCACTTTCATTAAAGTTTGACCCTTCTGTTGAGCATAAACTAGAGCCAGGAAAAGTTATAGAGGGGGAATAATGTGAAAATGTGTTTCCTAAAAAATCAGATTTAACAACTTTTTGTGCTTCCTGTCCATGAAATTTTTGAGGAAGAGTATACTGGTGAAAATATGGGTTATATATATTCGGGGTTGGTTGAAAGGATGAAAATGAGGAAGAAGGAACATTTGGAAATAACTGAGGATGGTTATTGTTATTTTGAAACATATTTTTCATTTTATTGCTTGCTTCAACATTTTTCTCGTTATCTGTGGATTTGGTCTTCGTTTCTGAAATAGAATTTAATAAATAATATTTTGTAAAGTGTAGAATAATGTGGAATAAAGTTTCTCTTACTTGTCTCAGAGTGGCCAATTGCTTCATTTTTCTTCTGTTGCAACTCAACCTCTGGTTCGGTCACGTAGTGGTGAAAATGTGGTAAATTTGTTGAAACAGAACTGGATATACTAGGCATTGTAGATGAGGAATCACTTTGAATCAAATTTGTGTGGTCATTTTTATACAGGTTTGTCTGACTTCTTGGATTCAAGTTATCTAGTTTAGTTGATGTGGATGAGTTAGGCTGACTTTCTGACAATAAATTCTGATTCGCCAATGAATTTGGTATTGAGGAAAAAGAACAATTTGGTAATTTATGTTCACTAGGCTTAGCACCTTCAACATATTTATTCTTTTCACCTACGCATTGTGTCGCATTGGTTAAATCATGTAAATTTGAAAATTTTGCTTGAGAGGAATTCGTAGTGTTCTGAGAAACGTTCATTGAGGAGGATGAATAATTTTGATTTTTAGATGTATTTGGTTGATCCGTAGTAATTGGCAAAGAAGAGGAATGACTACCTGGAAATAAATTATTCTTGGTACCAATATTTTTGTTTCTCTCTTTCTCAAATTGGACTTGCTGTGTATTTTGATAGAGATTTGAAATACTAGGTGAATATAAATTTGCGCCTAAGAAGGCATTTTGTGCTGGGGTTGAGGGGTAAAATGGAACTAAGTTACCATTATTGTTAAAACTCTGTTTGTTATTAATTTTCTCTTTGGGTAACTGAATCTGTTTTGGATTAGTGTGGTTATGGACATTTTGCTGATTTGGTGAAACAGAAATTGAACTTGCCATAAAACGGGGCATTGGCGATGTAGTTTGCTTCGTAATCAAATTTGGCGGGTTTTTTGAAATAGGTTTCTGATGATTATTTGGACGAACATTCTGATGAATATTTGGATGTGTATTTGGATGCATATTTGGATGCATATTCGGATGCATATTTGGATGCATATTCAGATGCATATTTGGATGCATATTTGGATGCAAATTTGGATGCATATTTGGATTCATATTTGGGTACATAATTGGATGCATATTTGGATGCATATTTGGATGCATATTTGGAGGCACAATTGGATGCATATTTGGATTCATATTTGGGTACATAATTGGATGCATATTTGGATGCATATTTGGAGGCAAAATTGGATGCATATTTGGATGCATATTTGGGCGCATATTTGGATGCATATTTGGGCGCATATTTGGATGCATATTAGGATGCATATTTGGATGACTATTAGGATTAATATTTGAATGAATATTTGGGTGAATATTTGGATTAATATTTTGATTTGGATTAATATTTTGATTTGGATTATTATTTTGATTTGGATTTGGTTGATTTTTTGGAAAATTATTTGGACGATTATTTGAGTGATTATTTTGATTATTTAAATTATTACTCGAATGATTTTTTAAACGAATATTAGGATATTTATCGGGAAGTATTCGGTTATTTTTAGGATGATTTTGATGCGTATTTGGAAGATTATTTGGAAGACTATTTGGAAGACTATTTGGATGAGTAGTTGAATTATCATTTTGATGATTATTGGGATAAATATACGGATACATACTTAGCTGACTTCTAGCATAAGAATTCCAGTTTTCCAAAGAAAGAGGCAGGCGTGACAAAGAATTACTTGTTGGCACATTTTCTTTATTACTATTAATCTGTAAGTTATTTTTGTGTATACTTTTTTCCTTTTGTTCTTTATTGTTGATTTGATATGAATTTATTTTAATGAGAGGATTTGGCAATGAGGGTAAAGGATCATATGAAAATGATTTTTCCTTAGCACTACCAAAATGGGTAGTGAGTTTTTCCTCATTTATATTTTCTTGTAGTCGTGTATTGTGGTTGGGAATATCCGGCAGATTCGGTGAAGAAGAAATAGTAGAATCTGGAAAAGACTTTAGTGTAGAAGATGGAGTATGATCTGAAAGCAAAGTTGAATGATTATTTTGATTTATATTTTGATTTGGACTACTGGTAGTTTGAACGTTATTAGGGTTTGTATTTTTCATTTCTTTTTCCTTATTTTGTTTCTGATGGTTAAAGTTTAACTGATGTACTGGTTGTGAATTTGAGGATGGTAGAAAATTTGGAAGTGAGGACGAAGGGTACGATGAAAATAGTTTATCTGTAGTTATCGTAGCATCGATAGCATATTTGCTCCCATTTATTTTTTCGAGCATATCTTGAGTTTGTTCTGGCGGAGAGAAGTTATATTCAATTGGATGATTCAGAGAGAAAGAAATTGTATTTGTGGTATCTAGTATTGAAGATGAAGAATTGTTTGGAAATGCATTTTGGTGTTTATTCAGATTTGCTTGTGCTTGGCTTAGATTTGAGTTTTCTAGATTTTCTGTGACTAATTGGTTGTTTAATTGTAAATTTAAATTCTCAGGTACATTTGGACTAGCAGCGTTCTCCTGTCTGGTTGGCTGTTCAAAATTGGGCTCGATCGTTAGATGTGAATTCGATATATCGCCAGAAATTGTGCGACAAGACAAACTAGAAAGTGAGTTTGTGTGATATAGAGTTGACTGAGTCAGTTGATTTGACTCTTCAAGTGAACTTTGCGTTAATAGGGGAATGGGAATTGATTGGAAATTGTCTTTACTATTAACGATCTGTTCAGTATTATTATCCACACTTGTACTTAAATAATTTATATGCTTATTTAAATTAACTGTAGTTTTATCCGTTGTTCTCTTTTCCTCTCTACTGCATTGAAACGGGTTGGTTAAATGACCAATATTTGAGTGACTTGGTAGATATGAGTTAAAGACTTCGCAAGAAGGAGAAGAGTTAATTGAAAATGAGTTTGGTAGATATTCACTTTTCTGATTGGTTGAAAATGAATTTGAGTCTTCCACAGATATTGACCCTGCGGGCAAAGAGTAACTTGGGCAGTTTTCATTTGAATTTGTAAATGATTCCAGGGATATTGGAAAACTCTCGTCAATAGTAGTAACGTCAATATATGTGTCATCTAACGAGCACGAATTCGTTGGTGAAAAATTAGAACTTGAAAATATAGTTTCTTTAGTTTCGGAAATTTCATGACTAGATTTGACTTCACCATTTTCCAATGTTCCTTGCTGATTTTTGTAGTCAACATTTGACTCACTTATTAAATCAGAATTTGAAGGTGGTGTAGATAACGTTATTGGCGAAGGAGGCAAATGTTTCTTTTTCAAATTACTATCTTGAATATTTTTATGAGTTTCTGTGTTTTCCTTGACTTCAGCTTCTAAGGTAGATCGATAAAAATTTGGTTGACATATCGACAAAAACCTAGAAATTGGCAAAGAAATTGGAATTGATGATGAACAATATTTTGGTATCAATTGAATTTTATGAGATTTCTTTGCTGCTCTCAGATTGCGTTTTATTGTTTTTTTGTTCGCTTCAGATTTGGACAAATATTTTTTTTTACGAGAATGAATTTTATTAAGAGACACAAAAGTATTGCAAGTTGGAAAATTATCTTCTGTTTTTTTATTTATTTCGTTTTCCTCGAAATAACTTTTATGATGCACAGGAGAAGTGCTGAGATGATTGACAGTCGATATTGAAGATGTAGGGCCACCCGGTATCAAATTATCTGTCTCTTTGACCGAGAGACTGGGATCCTGTAAACAAAAAATAAATTTACACAAAATTTCAAAAAAAAAAAACAAACAGTTTTAATGGTTTTAAAGTAACAGTACGGAAAAAATATTTTAAAATATTTTTATTAAATGGGTGAGTTAAAAAGCTAAATTAAGTATTACTGAGGAAAATGAACAATTAGAGTAAAAGCTGGAAAAATTTCTCACTGACATATAGCAAGGGTTATGGAAAAACACACTAAAAATTAAAAGAAAAACAATCACAATGTATACTTGAAGCGTTGGCAAGAACTAAGTTGAAATGACTATTTTTTTTTTATTTCAGATTTACCAATACACATTTTAAAGTAAAGGATGGTATAATTTTGTAGTAATTTAGTGTTTTTATTTTTTTAAAGTTGCCCATTCAGCGAGAATGAAATAGTAGTTTGTTAAACAAGAGTGGATATGGACAATCCACTCGAGTTGTACAGTATATTTTTTCTACGACCCACATACAAAAATATAAAATGTAAAAATTAATTTAGTTTATTTAGACAAAAGAACTAATTTTAATATTATTTATGACTTTTGCTAAATTATAAAATAAAATTAAATACACATGAAAAAAAATAAAAACAAGAAATAAGAATCGAACTCAGGTTTCTCGCGAGGAAGACAGACCCAGTCTCCTCAACTCCACCGTCAGATTTGGGATCTTTGTTCTAATACTCGTAATTAAATTATTTTCATATATTTTGATTAAAATTTTATATTTATTTCACAATGTGGACCAAACAAAAACACAAATGTTATTATTTATCGATTCTATACAAAAAATAACTCATTTTAATGTATAAATATACTGACAATTAGTTTGACAGAATTGTCACTTATTTAAAATTTAAAAATAATAGAATGGATATGAAATATATTCGTTCAGTTAAACGGAATAGCATAATTTTTCGTTTTGTAATCTGTGCTACTATTCATGTGGGTGTTAAAAGAATAATTTTTCTTATCTAATACTTTCTACGTAAAAATAATAATGATAAAGAATGTCTTTAATTGGTAGATTTGACGACACCAATAGCGGTTTGAAAAACGGAAATCTTAACGAAGAATCTAAAGAAATAGATTACTTTCTTAATTTGTTCACACAGAATGTTGTAGATATTATTGTAAAAGAAACCAACAGGTATGCAAACCAACAAAATGCAAAAAAATTGAAGAATATTGATATTTCAGAATTTTACGTATTTCTTGCAATAATATTGCTGATGCGTCGCAACAAAAAACTAAAACTGAAGGAATATTTAGGCAACATATGTCAAGAGACCGTCATTTGAAAATAAAAAGATATATGCATTTTGCGACAATGAAAACTCCCCGCCTAATAGGTTTTTCAAAATTAAAACTATACTGAATAAACTAAAAGACAATTTTCAGAACCAGTTTTACCCCATTAAAAATCTAGTCATAGATAAAAGTGTGGTTCTTTTTAAAGGAAGACTAAGTCGTAAACAGTATATTAAAACTAAGAAACACCTCTTTGGTAATAAACTATACGTGCTGTGTGATTGTGTGACAGGTATTGTTTTGGATTTTATTGTTTATGCAGGAGCAGAGACGAACATAAAAACTGATAAGAAGAATGATATTGGCACCTCAGAGGCTATTGTTGCAAAGCTTATGGAGCTATATCTCAACAAAGAACATTCTCTTTATAACGACAACTTTTATACCAGTCCTTCCTTAGCAACCTTCTTATTTGACAATAAGACTAAATTGTGTGGAACGGTTAGACAAAACAGAAAGTACATGTCCATATTCGACCAGAAACTAAGAACAGGTGAAACTGATTGGAGAAGCAGTAACAATTTATTAGCCATAAAACGAAAAGATCATCGAAATGTAATTTTTTGTATTTTTTTCTGACCATTGTACTAATAATAAAGGTTTATTATTTTTTTATAGGTGGTGATGCTCAGCAACATGCATGGAAATAAAATGGTAAACAGATAAACCAACGAAAATGTTAAAGGCCTTGTGTGTTCTGGAGTATAACAGCAAAATGGGTGCTGTTAATAGATCAGATATGATGATCAGTAGCGTTGACTGTATTTGAAAATGCCTGAAGTGGTACAAAAAGTTATTTTTTCATGTAGTTGACATAACTCTGTTAAACGTCCATGCAATGAATTCCACTAGAACAACTTAAAAAGTTCTGTTTGCCAAGTTTCACCTAGCAGTTATTAGTCATCTCTTAGAAGGTAACTTTGTGATTTGTGATATATGTATGTTATCAGGTAAACAAATTTTTGTTAATTGTATTATGGTAAAGCACATTGGCAGTCAAGAGTGGGGGGTGCGAGAAGTGATGGCGGTAGTAGCGTAGCGTTGGCTGCATTCTCCCCGGGCAGAACGAGTTGAGTTGCCTTGAGTGCTATAGTGAAGTAAGTTGATTCTAACGTAAATAATTATTTGACTTGATAATTAATAAAATCTAAGATCAGATGTTGGATTCACTCACTAAAAGTACCACGGAAGTACATGGGGGTTGACTATTCCTGTGAGTATTTTCAAGATTATTAATTCGTTAAATTTGTCAGTTGATTGATTGTTAAGATTGTTATTGGCCATATTGGCGAATGTAATTTTTGTATTAATTCGTTAAATTTATCAGTTAATTGATTGTTTGAAATTGTTATTGGCGATATTGGTGGTATTCATTTAAAACACCGTCATCCTGTAGAGGCAAATAATTATATGTAGCCGATAGAAATGTTATTTTCGTGTTTAAAAAAAAATTGTCACTATGAAGCTTATTGTTTTAAAAAGTAACTTACCAATCATCTAGCTCTCGAATAAATTAAATGTTTGTTTTTTTTTTAAATTTTATTATAGGTTTATTATAGTTTTTGTTTTTATAATATTATTTATCGATCCTGTTACTAAAAGGGTTAGATGGAAGAATAGCTGTAGGCTAAATCTCGCCCTTACATTGCATTTTTGTAATTTTCAAAAATTTTAATAAAGACATTTTATTATTATTATTATTATTATAAATTATATTATTTATTGATTTTGATAGTTTTTTTTTTGGAATAAATTTATAATTGAACTATCTGATAGAGAGAAATGTAGATTGGCAATTGTAATTTAGAGTACTGATAACGTTAAAAGGTGCACGCAACATAACTTTTAAAAATAGTACAATACTATTTAGAATTGAATGCAATGGTATATGTTCTAAAATTTGTTTTCATGATGTGGATAATTTAGCAGTGATCTGCTACGTTATTTTTGACAGATAGTGTGTAAACTATGTTAATTAATTTTAAATGAAATAAACCGAATTTAATCGGTGTTAAGAATAATAATAATAATACATAAAATGAAACGTATTGAATAAATGTTTATGTAAGAATTCTGTGCGCCTGTTCTTTTATCACCAAAATTCTTATGCGTCCTAGTCATGAAAGGGGGTCAGTAGATAAACAAAGCCAATATTCGACAGGAAGTGAGAGATAAGAGATAAGATAAGAGGTCAAGGTCAAGGCCACTGATAAGAGAGATAAGGATCTATTTTTAGAACCGCCCACGTGTCAAGGTCAAGGCCACTGATAAGAATCTATTTTTAGCAAGATCAAGGTTAAGGTCAAAGACAAGGACAAGGTCAAGGCCACTGATAAGAGAGAAAGGGATCTATTTTTAGAACCGCCCACGTGTCAAGGTCAAGGCCACTGATAAGAATCTATTTTTAGCAAGATCAAGATTAAGGTCAAAGACAAGGACAAGGTCAAGGCCACTGATAAGAGAGAAAGGGATCTATTTTTAGAACCGCCCACGTGTCAAGGTCAAGGCCACTGATAAGAATCTATTTTTAGCAAGGACAAGGTCAAGGTCACGCACGACTCGGATGCCCCACCCATACGGACGACAAGGTCACGCACAACCCACATGCCCATACCCACGCGGACAAGTTCAGCCACCGACCTCGCACGACCCACTCACGCGTTCAAGGTCATGTACCGACCACACACAACCCACATGACCCACCCACACAAGGGCCCCGTTTCGCAAACTTTCCACGCACGCTGCTTTTAAAAAATATAATTTTTGAAATCCATTTTTAAAAATCTAAAGTAAAACCTCTTTACGCCACACATATTCATTATTGTTTTAAGAGAACTATTTTAAGAATTCTATTTTAAGAAATCTGTTTTAAGGAATCTATTTTTAGAAATCTATTTTAAGACATCTATTTTAAGAAATCTATTTTAAGAAATCTATTTTAAAAAATCTATTTTAAGAAATCTATTTTTAGAAATCTATTTTAAGAAATCTATTTTAAGAAATCTATTTTAAGAAATCTATTTTAAGAAATCTATTTTAAGAAATCTATTTTAAAAAATCTATTTTTCCATTTTTTAAAAATCTAAAGAAAAACATCTTTACGCCTCACGAATCCCACGTGCCAAGCTCAAGGTCAAAGTCAAGGTCAAGGTGTATCTAAATATTGATATGAATATCATGTTTTTTGTGTGGGCGATTTAAACATAAATAGTGAACAGATTGCTGTAGTATATTCAGTAAAAAAATTCAAAACTCCCTTAGATTTTATTTGTTTAGATTAGATTTTCAAGGAGACATTATTCGACTCCGTTATTTAGAGTATGTCGTCTAGCTTGGTATCGTTTATTTGACTTATGATCAAACAGGTTGTAAGAATGTAAGACAAGAAGGTTAAATCCTTTAATATTGAATGTGTTTTAGATGTAAGAAGGGTCTAGAATCTAAATGATGTTTAAAATTCTCACACATTTTTTTTTTAAATAATCTGGATTAATAATTTCCGGTATACTGAAAGTAGTCACAAGGGCATTACACATATCTCCGCTATTATTGATCAGATTTAAACGGGGAAAACGGAGGAGTGTTAGGGAATTAAATCTCTATTATTGCTGAAGAGAAAAATCATGCGATGTCGTAAGGACTCAAGCATTTATCTTGATTATTATTGGTCGGACTTAAACAAG